TATTAACCTTATGACCAGTCATTGGGTTTATATGAAGAATGAGGTGTTCAGTTGAAACTGAAAGAGGGCCGACAGGGCAGTTTTCTATATTATTTTTTTTATATATATATATATATATATATATATATATATATATATATATATATATATATATATATAAAAGTAGGTTTCCACTTAAAATATAACAAATAATACTTACTAATGATATATATATATATATATATATATATATATATATATATATATATATATATATATATATATATTGATATATGCATTGACGCCAATAAGAATTATTCAGGACTTTTTTGTTAATTCTTTTTTGCTTCATTGAAGCCAATGAGAATTATTCAAGCCTTTTTATTAATATATTAGTTTTCCTATTTCTTGAAATGACGGAATATATAAACAATTACAAAGATTCCTACATTGTCGTTAAAATGACCTATTATCGCCTGTTTATCGTAGATAACTCTACTACGCATAATATTATATATATTGCAGGTATTAGAGGAGAAGTTGATAAAATCCGTGGATTTTTATATAATTATATGAGTGTGTATATGTGCGCATGCGTACGATTACGGATACTTACTTTCTTTCCTCGCTACCTTCATGAAAACAGTGATCATTATTTTATCAATTAAGAGCTGGATTACATTTTCTCTGATGGCGTTTTGAATTGAAAGGCGGGAAAATGATGAAACTTGTATTTTTTTGTTTTACTGGGTCGTCGCCAAATACAATTAACTGTCTCGAACAATCTATTCCTAATTTATACAGAAAAGAAAAATAAATAACTCTAAGAATAACAGCCTATTCCCTAAGCAGTCATCATTAATAATCATTTTAGTTCGCTAAATTTCTAATCCAATTTTTGCGTGTTTCCACAATGTTCTTTTTCTTTTAGTAAGGTTAAAAGTCACACTCGATTCATTTTGATTATCCACCGTCAAAATGTTTAAATACATTCCTTTATCAATTATATTTATTGCTCTGTGACTTGTTTTATTTCCGTTCGTATTCATTTATTTATAAATTGTGCATCATGACTTTTGATGAAAGTCGATATGAATTCGAAATTAAAAGAACGCTGGCAACGAGACTGACCTTGAGAAAATAATTGCGAGATAATGGACAATTTATAAGACTAACAATGAAAAGTGATAAATGATAAATTGTCTTTCAAGATCAAAAATGTACCGAGAGAATAAGAATGAAATGAATAACTTTTTAATAGACATATTTTCTCATTCTGTTTAACTGTCACAAACACACACACACACGCGCGTAAATTCTGTGTTTTCTCTGCTTTTTTTTCTATATATTTTATATAACTTACTTTCAGCACTTTGTCCGTAGTCTCTGCAAAGTTTACTTTTATATAATATATTCTTCCTGATTGGTCGGGCACTTTCGATACGACTATATTTCAAAGCATACATTATATATTGCAACATGGAAAGCTTTTTTACCGCCACGGGATTGTATGAGTAACATTAACTACGTTTAAGTGCACAGTAAACATTTAGTCCCGGATAGCAGCAAAATTTAAGTACATTTTTTGCATACACATACTCATACATATGAATGTGCGGGTGTATGCGTGCATATATATATATATATATATATATATATATATATATATATCAGAGAGAGAGAGGGTGAGATAAATATACAGAGAAAATTTGTATGTACGAATTTTTTAAGGGGCCACAAATAGAATAGTCTTTGAACTTTAACGTATCTAAAATCACGACACGTTGAGAGATAGTCAGATAGATAGATAGATAGATAGATTGAAAAATGTGTCCATAAGTTTGTATGTGTGTTTACGTTTTTAACTTGCAAAAATGAAAGAGATTCTGGACATACACTTATCTAAATCACGACAGTTTGAAAGAAATTCTACTAAGCTTCATATCTTGCTATCTTCCTAGGAATTATTTGGCCTGTATTTTACACTTTTTAAAACCATATGTGATCTGTTTGATTTCATTTGATGTAAAATGTATTGCCGTTCATGCTACTCTATTTATAGTGTCAGTTACATGAATGTATTCATATGATATAATCCCGTATAATTCGGTAAGTTGGTAGAATGTTTCTGACCATTGAAAATGATCTTCAGACTCCGATTCTGATTCTACAGACCTAGTGATTGTCACATTAAACAGTCGTTAAGTTACCCAAATAATATTCGAAACCCCCTTACACACACCAGTTAGTTTACCGATTTTCTCAAAATGATTTATCGAAAAGAAGTTGGTTGATGCATAACTTTATGAACAAATCAGACACCTGTATGTTTCGTGGCACTTTCATGGACACAGAATGCACAGTCTTAATAACGTTAAAATATTCCAAACAATCTCATTACAATATCTATACTAATGTCAGAAATAAATTAACTAACACATTTGGATTCCGGGATGAAATCCGGTACCAATAAATAACAAACGCCAAAAGTGAATATAGGAAAATAATGTATATTTTAATAAAAACTGGTAATGCAGGTTAGTAGTTCCAGGAATATGGGTTAGTAGCAAAATATATATATAGTCTTTGGTATTGAAGTATCGCCGTATGACTTCTTACTGAGTCTACGTGCTCAGTCACTGTGACTCTTGCTCGCTACGTTCGTTCTGTCTGTCTGTTACCTTCACCCTCTGTTGCTCTCGTCTCTCGGGTCTTCACGTAGCAGTAGTATATGTATATGTATAGGTGTCGTCCCATCAACCTTTCGCTTCATCTTTTTTATTATTTTCTCTTCTCTTGGCACTATTCTGTGACATGAGAATTAATTCACGTAATTCAGTGTATCTATCATCTTATCAATCAGCTCATACAGTTCGACATCATGAATGAAGTCAAGTGTTTGGAGCAAATGTCTCATGTACCAAACGCTTTCTGGCTTATGAGACCGACTTGTGAAAAATGCCTAAACGTCTGTAAAAAAAAAAAAAAAATGGAAGAAAAGATAATGTAAAATATATTGGGGAGAATACAAAAACCATTCTATTCGTTAAACAAATTGGTTGTTCGTACCCAAGATAACGATGATTTCTTGAAACTTTGAAGATAATTTGTCTTTTATGTTGGTGGATATAAAATATTATGGACACTTTACTATATACTATTTACATTATTCGGACTATTGCCCTCATCTTTGTCGCCATATTTATTACAACGTTATACAAGGAAGAATTCTCTGTCTTTATCTCTGAGATTTACTATCCATTTCTTTGTATATTTAATGTTACCAGTTCAAGTGTATCTAAAGTTGCAATATAACGTTGCGGACACGTTTTGAAAAATCTATAATAAAAAAAGGTTTTGCAGCCATGATGCAACGTCGCAGAAATTTTGAAGCAACGTCCTTTATCTGATTAATCTCCTCAGCCTGAAAGCAAATAAAAACCTGTCAATTAGCAGAAGGAATGTAGTGAGAGAATGAATTCATTGAATGCATCAAGTGTGTTGCTAGAATTCTCGCATATTTGTAACAGAAAGGTTAGACCAAGTGCAGGACTATCAAATGATACTTACATGATAAACTACCAACCATGTCATCCTTAGATAAAGATTCCTGGTGAAAGCAATATATGAGATCCTATTAATATTTGAAACCTTTTAATTTTCGAGGAAGAAATTTGATCAAAGCATCGAACATGTCATAACAGCGAGCCTCATAGACAACTTTATTGCTTGATAAACGTCTTTTAAATATCTGCGCATAAAAGACAACTGATGCCGTTTTTAATCTGATTCGCAATCTCAAAATAAACTTTCATCCAGGATGCTGTTAATATATATGCTATGAATCAACATTCCTTGTCCGTTATACAAATAAGTAGACTTCAATAGTTTATCAAATATGTTCCATGATTTGAATGCATATTCGGTCTCAAGTCCACTAGAAATCTTAATATAGACTAATATACACAATCTATCGACAAAAGTACAAAATAAAAAATAGTCACGATATAATATTATTTCAAAAAGTACCTGATACATTCTGTCATGCTTTCTTTTCTCAAATTAAACCAAAAACTGACTATTGCTGCCTGGGACGATTAACCCCATTTTCTACTTTCCAGGATTAATGGGGTTCAAAATTGCTTATGCTGTTTTATGAGGAAAGATTTATGCATCACAGTGCAACGTTGCGACCTATCGCTATTTCCATGGCAGATGTTCAGGCGGTCTTTTCTTTCTTCAGTTCCACCAGATCATTTAAATCTAGGACACGTCAAGTCGCTCTTAGTTTGTCTTAATTCAGCTAAGTGTTAATCCATCTTTCAACATTATCCTCCAAATCTTCACTTCCCCAGATTTACTCATATCACACATTTCATTAATCATTACAATACTGAGTTTAACTTAGAATGTCTCCAGATCCTCTTTCATGTGACATGTATAAATAAAGACTTCTAAAATGTATTCTCTGTTTCTGGCTAAATCGGAGAAAATGACCATATATTAAACATAAAATGTAAGCAGAAAAACAAATTATAAAGTTATAATATTTATCATTATCATTAACCATAACAGCAAATATTGGATATAAACATTTAGCTTGTTGGCTACCGAGATTTGAGAAAATTAGTATAAAAACTTAGTTCACGTAACCCATTATAACCGTAAGGATAACACATATACTACAACCAAAGCAACAATTGTGTGATTTGAGCAAGATGAGCTGTCGCGGCCCAACCCTATTAGAGGTTGGTTTTAAATTCAGAGATGTTCTTCTAAATTGGTTTCCAACCAAGATGATAGGGCCCTATCTGTCCTGCATTTTACCGATAGGTGGCGGGTTAGAAGAGGAGGATTCCCAAATATATTTATGAGTAAATGGAATGTAGCAAACTCGACTAGAATTCGAACGCTTATTTCTCATTCTGAGCAGTTATTACACCACCGCACATCCACGACGACGAGAGATACATAATTACTGAACTCTATTTCTGAAATGATAATGACAATCCCGAGTCAAAATGTACTTTCACCAAAAGAATAATGCAGGTTCGATACCTGTTAAGAGCTTCTGTTGCTTTAATAAACCTTTCGATTATCTAGTCTTTAGACTTTAATTTTCGTGTTTGTTAAGGAAAAGGTTATCTAATGAAACACGCTTCCTTACAAACATAATTATAGAAACTAGCATTATTTACATTATTGTTTTCCTCATTTTTATTGCCATATTCACAACGTTTCGACCGTTGTACGCTCAAACCTTCATCAGGTGACTGGAATTTCGAAACGAATCTTTTATTTCGTCCACCGGGGTAGATTGTTCTAGTTCCACGTGGTATGCCTCTTCCGGATGTCTCAGTTATTTCCCTTTACCACAAAATAAATATATAATATTAGGTCAGTTCAGTTCGATATTGTCAAATTGGCAACTGATCTAATATATGATCTATAAACTGTTGTTAACTCGGGCAAGGAATGGCTTGAAATCGAAACAATTCTCAACTAAACGACTGAGATAATTCTTTCTAACCTACAGAAGAAGGAATCGTTGCGCTTTCTTAAGGTATGATTTTTGTTGACATGAAGTAGAAATATTATATTGAATCAACTGCGTGGTCTGTTGCTAGAAAAGTTGTTTTTTTGTCTCGTGCTAGACATTTTTTCTCAGCCGACACTTTCTTACATATTTACAAGTCTATGTGACTATTGCTGCCATATTTGGTCTAGGACTTCTGCTATATATTTAGAGATTCTTTATTACATCTAAAGACGTATCTGCAATCGCACTGGACTTGATCCAACTTCAGTCACAACGCCCTTATGCATCTTCCCGGTGTCTTTTCTATAAAGACTTTTCATGGTAATTGTTCTCATGAAGCCTCCTTTATTGAACATTGACTATATGAAAAGCACAACTACGTTGAATCAATATATTCATCTACTGCAAGGAAAGTTGGTTCTCTGTGTCGTACCAGAAGTTTTTCTCGCTTGAATCCATCCTTCAAATCTACAAATTAACCATTCTTCCTTGCATTGAATACTGTTGCCATATATGGCCTGGTGCCCCCGCTGTACATCTCGAGGTCCTTGACAAAATCCAGAGACAGTTATCGTCCTGGGTATGACGATAAACCGCATCCAACAGCAAGGCTCAGGAGGTTTTAGTAGAAACCCTTCGTAAATGCTCTTGTTCCCAAGTCCACCCTGGCCCGGGGTGATGGCATCTGTTAGGGGGCCCAGCTATGAGCAAATATTTAACACGCAAACTGGGGTCAAAACATTATGAAATTGTATAAACACGTTACAGCAATTACATTTTTGAAAAAAAATATTACTTGCAGTACATTTGTGAAAAAATATTACCAGAAAAAACTTTTGGAAAAAAAATATTTCCATCAAAAAAATCTTTTCGGCATTAAATAACCCACTGAGGTTAATTTGCCTAAAAAAAAAATCTAAGCCAAACCAAAGACGGATATGCATTTTAATAGGTCTTGATCTGGTCTCTCGACTCCAGTCACTTTCTCACAGACGTGATGTGGCTTCCCTCTGTCTTTTCTACAAATATTTTCATGGCAACTGCTGTGACGAGCTACTTTCACTGGTACACCGACTGCAGGAATTTAAGGGTTCTAATAGGTTGGTATCTCGGTTTTATTATTTAACTGCCGAAACGATTAAATGTAGCTGTCTCTTCTACACCAACAGCTTCTTCTCTCGCACTTACAGACAGTGGAACTTCCTTTCTCCTACTTACTACCCTGATAGCTATAATCTTCAAATATTTAAACGTAATGGCAATCGACATTTTCTGATGCCTTGATCTTGATCTCCGTCTTCTCTATACCTTTTCCTCAAACAACACTCTTTAGTCTTGCTCTCTCTCTCTCTCTCTCTCTCTCTCTCTCTCTCTATCTATCTATCTATCTATCTCTATCTCTCACTGTAACCCTATGTGTGCGAGTGGCATTCCCAACATGCTTGGAGTGAAATGCTTTAAAAATACTAGATTAATGAAAAGATCTCATCAATTTATATTTGAATTGGATCGATTCAACCGTACGTTCTATGATAACAGTTTCGTCTCTTGCAATTATCGATTGTGAAACTCTCTTCTTGCTTGCCAGCGAGCATTGATCTTCAAAAATTTAAATGCATTGCCAATCGTTATATTCTGTCGTCTTTATGATATTGTATTGTTCTCCCTCCTAAACTCTAGTACACTAACCACGTGTATATAGTACCCAGCGCAAATTTTCCTATATTTAATTAAAATTTTCAGTGCCTGATTTTCTTACCTAAATAATATATTTTTCAGTTCCTATTAATTTTAACACAAAGTACAAAGTTTGAAGTGCCTGCATGCAAAATAATTCAAATAAAGATTTATATTTAATATTTTTTGATATTTTCAAAATCGGGTATGATCGGGTAGTGGTGTATATTTAACTGATGGTTAGTGTTCTAGGGTTAATATTGTTTTATTATTATTATTATTATTATTATTATTATTATATTCTTCCACACATAGTATCTTTCTATATTTCTGAGATGAGATATTATGTACACTATTTACATTATTCAGACTATTGTCCTTATCTTTATCGTCATATTTATCACGTTTCGGCCGTTGTACGCTATGGCCTTCTTCAGGCGGTTGGAATGTCGAACTGAAACCTTTATTTCGCTTACTGGAGTAGAATGTTCTAGTTAGTTAATCATGTTATACCCTATGGGGGGATCTTTCTCGGGAGAGATAATTGCGAAGTGTCGTCCTGCTTTTGAATGTTGTCCTGATGTTATATGGACCGCAGATACTTTGTATTTTTCTCTGATAACCCCTTCGCATAAAGCAGACAGACTGTTTTCTCACTGTTGTTGTCTTCCTCTTGTATCCGCCTATCCCAGTTTTTTTTTGTTTTTTTTTTTGGCTGTTGCCATGTAACCAGGGTAGTTGTTACGTTGTAGGGTACGCTATCCCGTGCAGCTGCGGAAAAAAATAATAAAGGGGAGACAGGCCGACCTCTTAAGGTAAGGCTTCAAAAACACCAGAAATCTGTAAGAGGAGGGAAAGTGGAAAAATCAGCCGTGGCTGACCATATATGGAGAGAAAAGTGAGATCACCGCCCTTTGCTGGATCAGGTTGATATCACAGACAAATAACATCACTGGAAAATTAAATTAAACTTAAGGAATCAGCACATATGCTGGGCCGCAAAAATCTCCTGAGCCGACCTAGCATAGAAATGAATAAATATTAGAACCAGTAATAAGGAAAAAAGCGATAATAACAACAAAAATTGCAATATGAGCTCTGGTAAAAAACATACAATGATAACACCAAAAATTGCAATATGAGCACTGGTAAAAAATGTTGCTGAAGACATTAGGTTTATAATACCCAGAAATTCATACACAGATGTCCTCAAGGGCGCATGGCACAGTGGATAAATGCGTCATTTAGATTCAGTGATATGACCGAAAGAGTGTGAGTTCAATACCTGGTTAAGGCGGTGGAGAACTTGAATAGGGGAATGAGATATGGCACGTGGAACTAGAACAGTCTACCACAGTGAAATAAAGGTTCAGTTCGACATTCCAACCACCTGAAGTAGGACGGAGCGTATGACGACCGAAACGTTGTGAGAAATATGGTGACAAGAATGAGGACAATAGTCCGACTAATGTAAATAGTCTTCCGCATGCATTAATCCCTTGCGTGTTAGTGACATTGTTGCCTTGTGTGGGTTGAAATGATTGAAAATAAACATTAGGCAAGAATTACGTTATTTTATTTTATTTTTTTTTAAGAAAAAAATAATCTTTCTGCCTGAAATTCTGGGATGAAGATCTTATTTAGTATATTTACATGCGGAATATTGTATTCATCTTTGTTGTTCTTGCTACAGATTATTGGCTGATGTGAACTTATACCTTCCTCAGATGTATCACGGGACAAAAGCCTAGTAGATTAAAGCCCTGGCTTGTGAATTTGTTGATATAATATTCGTTAGTTTAATTCATAATTCAGGAAGTTGGCACCTGAACTCTGTCATATCTAGGCGAGCCGGAACTTGATCCATACTAAATTAAATTAGACAAAAATTATATTTAGACATGGTCAGTGGAACGATAACAATATAACACCATACATAAAATAAAGTATTCAGTCAGAAATTGCTTATAAGTTATATGGAAAACATGGAACTGATGAAGACCGCAGACTTATGATAACAATAAAAAAGCCGAGATGAATATTCCCTGTATCTGTTGTAGTTACATCGAAAATAAGTTGGAAGCATCTATTTCGGAGCAACTCTCCTGTAAATGGCGAAAAAGTGACAAAACGAAATATGCTAGGAACCTCAATTTTTCGAAAAAAAAAAAAATGTTTTCTTTCATGGAAAAATTTTTTCCGGATTTCTTTGATCTTTTCTTTGCTTTTTTTCTTTGCTTTCTTCTTTTTAGGTTTTCTTCTTAATGCATTATTGTTGTGCGCATGCGCAATACGCTTTCCTAAGTGGCAAGAGGCATCAAACAATTCGAACCACTCATGCATCAAGTTGAACTTCGAAATTCTACACGGAAAAGCACACCAAGCGACCCAGATGCAGTCGAATAGATAGAAAGAGAAGTAAATGAAGGTTGACAGGATAAAAAAAACAAAAACAAAAAAAAAAAAAACACAGAAACGTGAATACCCTCATCTCTGTGCCAAAAGCGTTTTCAACTTTTCGTTGCATCTCATTCAATGTTTTACTCACAGCGTTTTCCAAGTGTCTCACTCTTCTTTTTAATCACGTGCACAAGCACGTACATTTTTGCCCGCCCTCTATCAATATCTTAACATTTGCCTTCCACTTGTTTCTAAATTTAACACTCATTCTCGCCTGTATGTGCTTTCTTTGTATTATTTAAATAGTCTATATATCAGCATTTCACACACACACACAAACACATGTATATATAAATATATATATATATATATTTTATATATATATATATATATATATATATATATATATGTTGATAGATAGAGAGAAAGAGCGAGAGAGAAAAAGAGATATATATTTTACAACAATGTTCACTATGATCCACTTGAGTTAAAAGTATACAATATATATAATATATATATATATATATATATATATATATATATATATATATATATATATATATCTGTGTGTGTGTGTGTGTGTGTATGTATGTATGTATGGTTTTTTATCTATACAGATCGTCAGTTGGCACTATCGATCCGTATAGGTGAAACATAGGTAGGTTTACCTCGCTCTTTAGGTTCATATTTAGATTTGCTCTACTTTGTGTATTGAGCACTTTACGTAATTATTTTTGCTTTACTCGTGTTGGAGGTTTTTTTCTTGGGACTCTGTGCGTGGATTCTGGACGATTGTTTTTGCTCCAATTTCCTGGTCTTAGTTCTTTCTTTTTTTATCCCTTATTTTCCTTGGGCAATGGTTTGTTCAATGACAAGTCAAAATACCTTAGGCTTTTCAAAACGAGTATAACTATTTATATTATATATATATATATATATATATATATATATATATATATATATATATATATATATATATAATCAGCAAAAAGACTTAATAAGTAAACATATAATCGGTTACAAGTTTATTTCAACATTCATTTCATTTGTATATATATATATATATATATATATATATATATATATATATATATATATATATATATATATATCTGTGTGTGTGTGTGTGTATGTATGTATGGTGGACTCTCCTGTCGTATTCGTCGACGTATGAGGTCAAGCACATATGATTTGATTATAGTTATGAAGGCTTTGTGCAAAAGCAAAACACACTTTTTGAAGGGCCGAATTCAGAGGCCTGGTGGACTACATGCCACAATGTTCCCAAACGACCCACATCAGGTTTTGAATTCATATAACACCTTGATTCAACTTAATTTTAATAATTATATTGATGATTTCGGCTATCGTTTTTGAAACATGAGAACTCTTATGTAGCGAAGGAATCATATTTTTAAAGAATATATATATATATATATATATATATATATATATATATATAATAAAGATAAAAATCTGTTGGTAATACGAAAAAAAGAAAGCTCGATATATATATTAATACAGAGCCATATATTTAATAAACAAATCCAAAATTACTTAATATGGAGAATAGCCTATTTCGGTAGAAGGTTATATTGGTTGTCTGTCTTATCAATACGGGTGTGGAATGAGGTTGATTCTATAAAGTCAGATGAGACAGGAAGTAGAATTTAACCGTGAAAGCTAACAAATCAACCTAGATTCAACTTAACCCAAAATTCTAATGCAGAGAATAAAATTTCAATGTTTCAGTTAGACGAAATATACGGGAGAGGGGTCAGAGGAGGGTGGGAAATATCTGCCTTAAAGGGTAAAAGAAAGAAACGAATATTAACCTTATGACACCAATTTGGGATTATATGAAAAAAAAAATGGATTTTTAATTTAAAATTAAAGGAGAAATAAAAAAATGAATCCAGAAATAAATTTAAAATATGTAGATAAAACTATGTAAGGGGTTAACGGAAAGAGAATTAGGGAATTATTCTTGTATGGGAAAGTTGAAAATTTCTAATTAATATAATATAAAAATCCTTTAGAGGGGGGGGATCAATATGGAAATTAGAATTAGTTTTTGTTTTTTTTCTGTCGAAATTTGAAGAGTTGGAGGGAAGTGATTTGGGATAGCTAATTAAAGTAAAAATATATTATGGAAATATGGTAGCTAATTAAAGTAAAAACTATATTATGGAAATTTAAATTTATTCTTATGTCGGCATTGTAACACTAATTCATTCCTCTGATTCAATAATTGGCTTTGATCATTGTATATATATATATATATATATATATATATATATATATATATATATATATATATCATTTCTTGTCATTCGGACTATGGTTAATGCTGCCGCTCGAGTTGGTCTCTTCTATCACCTGGACCTGCCCAAGCTGATTGATCACAGAGCTGCCAAAGATCAAATTGTCGTCAGCAATTGTAAAGTTAATTAACCAATTAAATGTCAGATCTACGTTAAATAGAAAAATAAGGTCAGAGGGTGGTGATGGGTGAGTTATTTTCTCCACTCTCTGACCTTATTTTTCTATTTAGTGTAGATCTGACATTTAATTGGTTAATCGAGACATACCCAAAAAGAATATTTTTTTTTAATTCTGACTTTATGCTCCCCACTTTAACTTTCGTAAATGAGATAACGCTTTGTTTTAAATTTCCCTCTTGAATTTTGTCGTCTGTTACTACGATACCCCGAAAATAGTAATTCTGTACACGCTTGTTTTCGACATCCCTACTACATCGCCCTATGGGTTGTTTTATTTGCTGTTTGTTATGGGATCTTACCCATAATAATAATGATGAACTATTCCAGTCTCTTTCGGGGAGGTAAACCGACCCTGAACCGGGTTATACGGGTTCAATGGGCATATTTTTGGCCGTGCCCACGGGCTCGGAGATACCACGTTAAAACCGGCCTTGTGCTACATAACGCCCTCGGTGGGGGGGGACTGAATATCGTCAGCCATTCAAGACTTGATCGGCTGATCGGGTGAACTCTCTGCCTTCGGGAGGGGAGGAATCCGAAAGAGGCTACGCCGAAGAGCGGATTCTCTTTCGGGTAGGCAAACCGACCCTGAACCGGGTTATACGGATTCAATGGGCATATTTTTGGCCGAGTTCACAGGATCGAAGAACCCACGTTAAAACTGGCCTTGTGCCACATGACGCCCTCATGGTGGGTGACTGAATATCGTCAGTAGTTCAAGTCTTGACCAGCTAACCGGTTGAACTCTTTGCCTTCGGGCAGGGAGGAACCCGATAGAGGCTACGCCGAAGGGTGGATTCTCATTCGGGGAGGTAAACCGACCCTGAACCCGGTTATACGGATTCAATGGGCATATTTTTGGCCTTGCCACATGATGCTCTCGTGGGTCCGTGACTGAATATCGTCAGTAGTTCAAGTCGAGTCAAAAGTCGAGTCAGAGGCAGTCCGAAACAGAGACGCGTTCAGACAATTACTGCAAGACATTGGAATAGTGATACTGGTCGAGACTACATTGTTCTCTCTACTAAACCTGATTGTTCATACTAACACTTCTACTTCTCTGTATATATTCCTGTTTGTAATATATCTGTGTTATTCCATACCTGTTTTCTCGTTTTTCTTTATTGGTTTTACCTTTGACTATCACCGTGGTACAAGGAACCGTACCATAACACTGCTAAACAGGAAATCTGTCTTCTTAGGGTTTATATATACATTGGTCACATTTTCCATTTACTTTTTATTTGTCACTTCTTTTCAAACTGTCAAGACCAGGGTTCTCAATAACCTCCTATCTATTGCAGCTCTTAGCATATTTTATCCCGTTGTCACGACCTTTTTCCTCCTCCTGTCATCGCTCACTTCTTTCCACTGTCCTTTTTGCGCGTGTTAAATTCTGCAAGACTCCTTTCCTCAGCATGAATTCTAGTAATTTTAGCACTCGCATTCTGATTCTTAGTATAAGTATCTGTTTCGCTTCCATTTTCCTGAATATTAATTCGTTGATTACGCGCTCCGTCCATTGTTTTCTCAGCATCATTGTCTAGAACAACATTTCTGTCAAGAATGAAGACTGAGGCTCAGTAGATAAGTTAATCCAAGCTTTATTCGGCAAAATACAAGCAGGATTCACATCATATGTGCTCCTGGTATTCTCGAATATGGCTGACTGTCATAATCCGGAGAAGGGGCCATAAACGAATACGGTGTCGTAAATGAGTGTCGTTGTCTATCTCTTATTTACAACAATTTCTATTGCTTTCAATTTACTCATCATTTGTGAGACTATCGTCCAGTATCTACGACCATATAGAAGGATTAATATTACGTAAATGGCCAACACTCTTTTCCTTTTCCTAAAGATTTGTTTTTCCTTTCTGAATAATTAGATTTTGGAATGCATCCTCTTTTTCAATTTGCGCTCGGATTTCGACGTAGGATTTTCCATTCTCTGTTAAAAATTACTGCCCAAATATTTCAAATCCTCTACTTATTTGATGCTGACATTATTCGATCGTAGATAGCACATTGGTCTGTTTCTCGTTCATTTTACAAAGAAATATACTGAACTAGTAATCGACGAGGTTGTTCAGAAAAACGTTATTAACTAGTGCCTGTTTCACATTATTGAGTTCTTTTAAGAAAAGTAGACAAGAAAATAAATTCAAGTGTGCTCTCTAGAGAAACTTTTTTTATACCACATATTTTACATCTAAGTTGACATTCACAATTAAAATTAAGGTAGCAAGTTATTCTATTAGTGGGTTTCTTGTATAATGAAGTAGTGAATGTGCTGGTAGTGAATTCTAAAGTAACTAATAGCACTACTGAACATTTAGATAAAAGCAATAACATTAACATATTCAATAAAAGCCAAATACACGTTAACTATAAGCAAGAAGAATTTTCTCGTAGGAATTTTAAAATATACAATTCCAGTCGACGAGAAAAGAAAATTAAGTTAACTACTATAAAAACACTTAAAACAGCTAAACTTAACATAAAAAATAACACACCTGCAAAATGTAAATTACAGAAAAACCAACACTATTTATGAATTCAATTGCCCCTTATTAAACAGTGTTCCTGTTCAAGCCAAATACATGAATAATTCCATTAGACATACCACTCAATGTGTTATCTATCTGATTCGATTTATCGCTATCACTGTAAATTTCCTTCTCTCTACCCCCCTTTCTATCTATCTATCTATCTATCTATCTATCTATCATTGTAAATTTCTATTTATCTACCTATCTATCTATCTAATCGATTTATCTCTATCACTGTAAATTTCTATCTATCTATCTATCTATCTATCTACGAGAATTCATATGTATGTCTATGTATGTATGTATCTAATTCAATTTATCTCTATCCTTGTAAATTCCTGCCCATCTACCTATGTCTGTGCAAAGCCGACTTTTATGTTCAGTTTCATAAACACATATATTTGGTGGGTGAAGTAATGGATAGTAGGAATTGGAGAGCCGAGTCCGAATTACAGTCGAATCTATCACTTCATTTATGTGCTAATACCCTTGGGAAACGCATGAATCTTATTCTCCCCAACCCAGGTATGGGTAAATAGCAGGTCAGACCGGGTTCTATAGCCTTGAATGGCAACCGGTCTACCACAGAACAGAATCTGCCTCGTTAGTCATGTATCGAAAGAAGCATGATTGCCTAAGCGTGTATCACGCATGGAGCATAACTGACTTATATTTTGGGGGTAAAATTATATGAAATAACACATTGCACAAGTTTTTGGTAGATTCGATATGACATAATTTTTTTATTTTACCAGAACGCCGAGTATGATGAGGCTGATTCTAAATTGTTTTGGAGACCTCTATTTTACAACAACGGAGTCCACACTTACCATTGGCTCTCCTTTTGCGTTTTCAGATGACGAAACACCAATAAATATATGGCTAATGTGTTTTAGGATCAATTATTAAAAATATTAATAATAAAATCAATTTTATAGATTCAATCTTAATATGGTCAGGAAATGTAATTTATCACATGAGAAAAGGCAAACCATCATCCCATTAGGTTGTGAAGGCTACTGTTTCCAAGATATAGCACCCGAAATTTAAATTTTTATACCCTGCAGTCCGCTCATCTAATGTGAGAAATGTGAAAACAGGCAAATAGAACGACGGATGGTGGTCAGGGCGGCCAAAATCCACTTTCAAATCACAAGTTAATTTCATGAGAATCACTATTCTTTGAAATAGAAATCTGACAGCAGCTCACATTGCTTTATAATTGAGTGAAGCCGTCGTAATTAGTCTTCATTAACAATTAGAAGAAGACTCACTTCAGGGGGACTATATGACCATTATCCTGTCAGGAAACCACTGCCTAGACCCGCGAATAAAAAAATGAGCAATTGATATGGGCTAAAAAACGCATCAAAACTGTAGAGTTGATCAATGTAAACGAGTCCTCTGCACTGAGCAATGCAAGTTTGAGATGTTCGGATCTGGCAGGCGAGTGTATGGGAAGCGAAGATCTATTGAACGAATGATTACTGCTTGTGTTGCGCCAACTGTATAGCATGGTGGAGGATGATTTGGGGTTGTTTTGCAGGCAATACATTTAGCGATATTTATCGGGTACCTGGAATATTAAATGAACATGGGTATCAGTCTATCCTACAGCTAAACGCCATTCTATCTGGGACATGGCTGATCGATGATAGATTTGTTCTTATGCAAGGTAATCAGCCGAAACATACATCTAAGCTATGTAAAAACGATTTCTAAGAAGAAAACTGAAGAAAATAATTCGGTTGTCATGGAATGGCCACCCACGTTACTTGAGTGCAACCTCCTCGAATTAGTTCGGGATTAATTGGTTTGCAGAGTTAAAATGTGACAACCATGTAGTGCAGAATCGTTGTGGACACGATTAAAAGAAGAATAGCAAAACATTACAAGTTTATATATGCTTTTATTGGTCCAAAGAATGCAAAGAGGATGTTCAGCAATTACCAAGGTCAAAGGGTAGATAATTTGATGAAGGTCATTTTTAGCATTTTTTATATTTATGTTTTCTTATAGAGTAAAATGTTACATAATGAATGTAATTATATATTTAATAAAAAATTCCCGAAAAACTCTCAGTTATTTCAATTCTAAAGAGTTTTATTTTTTTTTAAATGTTTGGTGGTCTTAAACATTTGGAGGTTAGTCTATGTACGTGCGTATCTATCTATCTATCTATCTATCTATCTATCTATCTATCTATCTATCTATCTATCTCAGTCTGTTCCTTCCTATCTATCTATCTATCTATCTATCTATCTATCTATCTATCTATCTATCTATCTATCTCAGTCCGTTCCTATTTATCTATCTACCTATCTATTTATCTGTCTGTTTCTATCTATCTATCTATCTATCTATCTATCTATCTATCTACCTCCTTATTTATAATTCTTTACTATTCAAGACATTTTTTAGCCTTTCTTTTTTTTCGGAAAAGGGAAAGATTATCCCTGCATAATGAAATATTCTCTGCTCATCTAATGAAAGATTAAAGCCCAAACAAACAAACACTTCATCTAAAAAACATAGTAATTTTCAGTAGTAAACTAATGAAGTATATCGGAGTTTGTTTTGTTGTTTATATTTTTCCTATCGTCGTCTTTTCCGTTGCACGTATACGTCAAGATAATTTCCCTTTCACGTTCCCTGTTTACTATGCTTTCTTTTTTCTTTTTAATCTCTATAGCAATTTTTTCTAATCGATAAATAATGAACTCTTTTTTACGCAAAATCGTATATGCAATTAAATTCCACTTATTTTTTCCTGAGGAATAAAAGGTTGTTGATTTAAATAAACGTATTTTTTTTTAAAGATCTCTAAAATGCCAAACAATTTTTTGTCTGTTAATCAAGTATTGATTAAATATAAGTTATTACTTCTTGTCTGAGATATTTGAAACTACTTTTTATAAATACAAATTTGTATGGAATTTATACATACATACATACATATATATATATATATATATATATATATATATATATATATATATATATATATATATATATATATATATATATATATATATATATATATATATATATATATATATATATATATATTATTATATAATATAATTTTCATATATTATTTTATACTCTGTTCTATAATTGACGTATTGAACAAGCAAACAAACAAACATGGTGTTAAACCGACATTGATTATAAAAGCGAACATAATACACAGGAAACAACTAAAAATGAGAAAATGTTCTAAAAGTTTATTAATCTATCATTTTATTAGTATTCTTATTCGTTGTCTTTGCAACGTTTTCTTTTTTTTCTACTTTTGGTATTTTTAGCATCCATTACTCCTTTTTTTTTATTTCTTCCTTTACACACACATATATATATATATATATATATATATATATGTGTGTGTGTGTGTCTTCTTCTTGAGACAATATTTCATTTATCTTTATTTTTCCTAGATGTGAAGACGACAAAGATCTCGAGAAATATACTTGACCGCTGAAGAGGTTTTGATGTCTTTCCATAAGAGAAGCCAACGTGCTCTCTAGCTTCATATCTTTCTCCGATATAGTTTGGAATAGGCTCAATTATAATCGTAATAAATGTAAGAGATATAAGTAGTTTCTGGGCTTTCGTCTTACCTGACTCTACACCGAACTAAAATAAGACGTCGTTCTATTTCTCTCACCAAGTACATTTCCGTTACCACTCAACATAATTCTTCCACTCTTTATGTCCATTCATCAACGTCATTTTCAGTCTGAAGAATTCTGCACTCAACAATCGGATCAATCAGTGTTTGAAAACACTTATATATACATATTTTTGTACCTATTTCGCTTCGTAATCTAAGGAAAAGATCGAGCGAAATTTATCATAAAAAATAAGAATAAAAACAACTATGATGCACTTACCACTGAGAGACGTTTACATATTTGATATGTCTTCTCTTTTGAGTAATCGCATTTCGCATCAGTTTGGAGTTGCTAACATAAACAGAAAATGTTAAACGATGTCGAGAGACTTATTACAGAATCTATTTGCTACATCAATTTTTTGACTTTCTAAATATTTATACGATTCCTGTTTATATACATTGGAGGGACGTTGGAGTAATAGATAGCGGCTGAGATTGAATGTATCGGAGAGCTGAGTTCGAATCCCATTTGAGTTAATGAACTCAAGTTTATTATTTTCATTTACGTGCTAAAAGAGATTTAAAAAATCCAACAATTCCAGCTATGCATAAATATCATGGCAGATTGGGTCTTGATTGGCAACCAGTCTAGGAGAAGAAGAACTACATTGGAGATGTTTTAGTTTTGTCAGGGTGACTTAAACATGAAATAACGCTCCTATATATCTGCAGTTGATTCTTGACTGCGATCTATCTAACGAGCAGGCTTTGTCATTATTTATTGTCTTTCTATTTGAACCTGTACAATTATAACTTCGGCATCACATAAGTTGATCAGAATCACCAGTTTTTAAAACAGGAATTTGAGAGTCCCTCAAATAATTGTACAGTTAAGAGAAACCGTCGGAGCTAATAAGTCTGCATCAACAGTTAGGAGAAGATTCACTTCAGCATGTCTAAATGTCCATTGTCCCCCCAGGAAAACACTGCTATATATATATATATATATATATATATATATATATATATATATATATATATATATATATATATAATTATTTATTTAGAAATCACTACAAAATAGCTATTTCGTTTCAACACTCCCGGTGTCTTATCAAGACACCGTTAGTGTTGAAACAAAATGGCTATTTTTGTAGTGATTTTATAACATGTTTAAGTTATAAATTTTCTAAATAAATAATTATATCTGCTCTACTTTGTATTGAGCACTCTTTTAAGAATAGTAATTGTTGGTTATTGGAATTCATTCCGTATACACCAATTATATATATATATATATATATATATATATATATATATATATATATATATATATATATATAAAATCTTTATTCGTTGGAATCAAATTTTTTCAATACCTAAAACTTAAAGGAATATTAAAATGACCTACACTAATAGAGTTTCAACATTCGAATCATTCTCTAAATCTCGATCTCATTCCTGTTTCTATTTGTCTGTGTGTTTGTCTCTCTGTCTTTCTCTCTCGCTACATATATATATATATATATATATATATATAGATAGATAGATAGATAGATAGTGAGAGAGAAAGAGGTAGGGTGATAGAGAATATAAGATTTGGAAAAAACACGTAATATTTATATTTATTTATATAATTTTCTCTATACAACAAGTTTTTTTACAGAATTTTCTAACAATTTAATTTTTCATCTATCTATCCATCTCTCTATGTATATATATATACACACACACACACACATATATATATATATATATATATATATGTATACATATTACACATATACATATATATACATATATATATATATATATATATATATATATATATGTATATGTATATGTACACACACACACACATATATATATATATATATATATATATATATATATATATATATATATATATAAATTTATAAAAGACCAAATTATTTTGTAAAAAGGGCAGACCGTCCCTAGCAAACGAAGAAAACGCGGAGCATTGCCAAAAACAAAACGACTCATGACGACAGGAAAATACGACATAATATGGCTGCCCCTCATCAACCAGAGTAATTTCAGATAAAATCGACGCAAACAGGTTCCAAACATCAGAGGTGACTTAAAACTATTAAACCTACGTTGAGTAGTACATTTAATAATATTTTTCGTGTAACAATTGTCCCGGAAAATAAAATGAAAGTTTTCCATTTCACAGTCTAGATTACTATGGGAACATGTCATCAACCGACGATGGGCCAAAGTAGAAATTAAATTTAACTTCTCGTATTTGAGACCAAAAGAATTCCAATTGGTGTATTGTTCAGTAAATGTAGGTTTTCGGTGAAAAAAAAGCTAGTGATGGAAGAACAATCATTCCGCTCACCAAGCACATTGAAGACGTGAACCAAGGGACTGACTATCGAAAGCCAGTCAATCTGGGCACATATAATGTCATTAAAACTGAATTCCACCACCTCTGTAGATAAATACATGAATTCCAAAATAATCCCTCAGAAATACTGGGGCAACCCAGGAGACAACTCTAAAGCGCATCCGTATATATCTGCAGGGTATCAGGGAGAGGTACGCTTGTAAATCACTTATGTCAAAGGACACGGTTGGCATGAAAATATGTATGGAAAAATCATATCTACCTGCACATGATATATCATTTCAGCGTTAAATAGAACACTTTTCAGTTAACTGCCTACTGCACAAGTTAAACGTTGAAGACAATCTAGCCACAAATGTACACGAATGACAAATGTAATCTAGTCTGCATGGCATCACAGCGTGATCTAAAATAAACTTTCTTTAAACTTATTAACTCAAAAATGAAGGAATTGCAGGCATATGTTTATATGGTCCTCCAAATTATGTAAATGTATTTTTGATAAACACTATATGTGTATGTGTGTGGATGTTTTGTGTATGTGTGAGTATGTTTGTTTGTGTTTGTGTGTAATTGTGTATGTGTGCGCGGATGTGTGTATGTGTGTATTAGATTGTATGTTTGTGTATATATGTGTGTATATTTTTTGGTGTGTATATAAGTGTGTATGTTTGTATGTGCCTATATATGTGTAGATGTGTGTGATAATACGTACGTATTAATAAGTATACATGAGAGTAGAGGTTACTGAAATGTCTTCATTCCAACTAAATACTGCGGCTCAAAATTTTATTGTTTGGACAATTAATTAGATGAAAAATATTCAGATTTTGCTCTCTCTGTCTCTCACTATATACACACATGCATACATACACACACAAATACATGCATATATATATATATATATATATATATATATATATATATATATATATATATATATATATATATATATATGTGCGTAGGTGTGTGAACGTTCTTGAATAAATCTTTAGATAAGACCAAACTAAGACGCACACATGCACACGCACATACACATATATATGTAATGTATGTATTAGACATGTTTATACAACAACGTTCACTGATATATTCAATCTGGATAATCATAGGAATCTTGCAGTAATTAACACCGGAATAAATTATTTCCGACTTACTACAGTAATGTATCGTCATCGCCGTATATATGAATATATTATTGCTCATTCAATAGATAATTTTGAACTGTAAGATGTGTTTTCCATATAGAAATACAGACATAAAGACATTTCCAGAAACTAGAAATTAAGATAGATAGATAGATAGACAGATAGATAGACAGATAGATGCAAATGCACAGTTTGATAGATAGATTTATTGATAGATAAATACATAGATATGTACAAACTGAGTTAGATATGAATA